AATTCACAGCCCGTGGAGCAGTGTGTGGATTGGGGGTCTAATTCACAGCCCGTGGAGCAGTGTGTGGATTTGGGGTCTAACTCACAGCCCGTGGAGCAGTGTGCGGATTGGAAGTCTAACTCACAGCCCGTGGAACAGTGTGTGGATTGGGGGTCTAATTCACAGCCCGTGGGGCAGTGTGTGGATTGGGGGTCTAATTCACAGCCCGTGGAGCAGTGTGTGGATTTGGGGTCTAACTCACAGCCCGTGGAGCAGTGTGTGGATTTGGGGTCTAACTCACAGCCCGTGGAGCAGTGTGTGGATTGGGGATCGAATTCACAGCCTGTCGAGCTGTGTGTGGATTGCGAGTCTAATTCACAGCCCGTGGAGCAGTGTGTGGATTGGGAGTCTCATTCACAGCCCGTGGAGCAGTGTGTGGATTGGGAGTCTAATTCACAACCCGTGGAGGAGTGAGTGAATTGGGATTCTAATCCACAGCCCGTGGAGGAATGTGTGGATTGGGCGTGTAATCCACAGCCCGTGGAGGAGTGAGTGAATTGGGAGTCTAATCCACAGCCCGTGGAGGAGTGTGTGGATTGGGCGTGTAATCCACAGCCCGTGGAGGAGTGTGTGGATTGGTAGTCTAACCCACAGCCTGTGGAGGTCTGTGTGGATTGCGAGTCTAATCCACAGCCTGTGGAGGAGTGTGTGGATTGGGAGTCTAATCCACAGCCCGTGGAGGAGTGTGTGCATTGGAGTCTAATTCACAGCATGTGGAACAGTGTGTGGATTGGGAGTCTAATTCAAAGCCCATGGAGCAGTGAGTGGATTGGGAGTCTAATTCACTGCTCATGGAGGAGTGTGTGAATTGGGAGTCTAATTCACAGCCCTTGGAGGAGTGTGTGGATTGGTAGTCTAATTCACAGCCCATGGAGGAGTGTGTGGATTGGGAGTCTAACTCACAGCATGTGGAACAGTGTGTGGATTGAGAGTCTAATGCACAGTGTGTTGAGGAATGTGTGGATTGGGAGTCTAACGCACAGCGTGTGGAGCAGTGTGTGGATTGGGAGTCTAATTCACAGCCCCTGGAGCAGTGAGTGGCTTGGGAGTCTAATTCACAGCATGTGGAGGAGTGTGTGGCTTGGGAGTCTAATTCACAGCATGTGGAGGAGTGTGTGGCTTGGGAGTCTAATTCACAGCGTGTGGAGGAATGTGTGGATTGGGAGTCTAATTTACAGCCCGTGGAGCAGTGAGTGGATTGGGAGTCTAATGCACAGCGTGTGGAGGAATGTGTGGATTGGGAGTCTAATTCACAGCCCCTGGAGCAGTGTGTGGATTGGGAGTCTAATTCACAGCCTGTGGAGCAGTGTGTGCAGGGGTTGGGTGCAAGCCATGTTAACCTGATAGATACACCTTCATTGGTAAGTGGAAAATCTGTAAGTCTGATAAGCAATGTCTTCTAGCCTACCAAGAGGCATGGAAGACACAGCTACACCTTCCTGGCCAGAGAACTTGTGCCTCTCCCCACACAGACCAAGGAGAGCCTGCAGAAAGGGTAAGAGTGACAGCAATCTACCGAAGGCCAAGTGGCTCTTCACCGGAAGTGAAGCGGCTGACATCTGGTAGATGTGGCTAGCTAGTGAGGAAATGACAGGTGGCCTAAATAGAATTTAACATACTTTATAATCACCTGAGGGATGCTGATTTTCAGCACAATATTTAAGAAGAGCAAAAATGTGAGTTAGAGAAGAGGACATTTAGAACTACAGTAATTACAAACAACCTCTTGTGATCCTGTGGGTATTTCCCGATTTGGGGAGTCTGCCTGATCGGATTTAAATCTTAGATTGCCATTTTTGGCTAAGCAGCATGCTCCGATGGGCAGCCAATGTGTGATCAGGAATAGAAGCCAACTCGAACACTGGCTGAAGTTTAAGAAAAGACTGAAAGCCTACCCACAAGCAAATCCCCCGTGCATCCAGGGTCTAACATAAAGGATTTGTAGCTTATCTTCCGCTTCAGTCACCTTTCTGCAGCTGCTCATTCACCCAGCCCTGTGCTCAGCTCACATGCTTAGACACCTACACTCCTCCTGTGTAAATCAGAATGAGTTTAATGTGTCTTTAGCACTTCAATTACTACCTACCTCAAAGGCAAACTGTGGTGTGATAAATTAAGTAAAACTGATTGGAGAACTGGAAAAACTAAGGAATAAGGAAGCCAATTCTGAATAGCATTGGAATGTATTGTGTCTAATTATGTTTTCCTTAGGCTATTAATAAAACAAAAGTGAATTCTCTTCGTGCCCAAAAAAACGCTTCTCGTGCCACTGGCCAACTAGGTGGGAGTTTAAGTTATTCACGGATTAGATAAAAGCCATGTCCATGTGAATATTCGAGTTGACTGTATTAACATTTTCTTACCAAGCAGCACAAATACAGACTTTCTTTCCACATTTTAAACACACAGCCCCACGTGGTGGCACCTCAGAAGGATGTGTGCACATTCTGTTGGGGATCACATGGTCCCTGTGGACTCAGGGACAATGATCTCGTGGTTGGACCTAATTCCCTTTGAGCTCCTTTTACATTCAGGTCAACTGTAGGTGGATGAATATAATGACCTGCTTGGGTGACCTGTGGGCAGAGCCAGGATGAAATCCTGCCCCATGTTTTCAAACTCAGAAACTGAAAGTAATCCTGTTCTGTGAATTGGGTTCATTTTGTCAATGGGAAGGACCAACCCCAACACTTCCCAAATACTTTCTGAGGAAACTGAGAACTAGCTGAAAATCCCACCATGACTTTTTTGAGAAAACAGACCCGGGAGTGTCCTCCAAGGCAGCTTCATTACATCACGAATCAGTGATGACCCAAAGCTGTAATGACAGTTTTGATTCTACCTGGGGACTGCAGGAGGACCCAAAAGAAGCAATGAGAAGTGGGTGGCAAGACCCCCAAGCTAACAGTGCCTGGAATCAGCTTTCTTCCTGTTCTTCGTACCAACGTGGCCTGGGTCAGGAGCTGACCTAGGCCCATCAGAAGTCCCACTCCAAGCCCCACACCCTTCCGACCTGCACAAGCTCACACCCACCTTGATGTGCCCATCTGGGTATGGCAAACAGGGATTTGACCAACAGCCTGAACCCAGAGGAACAAATGGACTCTCTGTTCTAACTTCATCTACACTTGACACTTTGTGGTTGAGCATCTATTTGTTTCCTCATTATCTTTTAAAAAACATGACAATTTCAGATTCAAAAGCGGTCAGGAAAAAATACGGTGAATCCCTAGACCCAAGACGCAGACTGGACAACCACCAGCTATCTGGATGTGTCCCACCTACATCTACAGAAGGAGGTTGGGGATGGTTTTATACATAACCAGCATGCCGTTAGTGTTGTGGACTGACGATGTCCTTCCCAAATGCGAAAGTTAAAGCCCTAACCCATGTGTAACTGTATTTGGAGACAGGCCTTGGTGTGGTTTGGCTCTGTGTCCCCACCCAGATCTCATCTTGTAGCTCCCATAATTCCCACGTGTTGTGGGAGGGACGTAGTGGGAGATGATTGAAACATGAGGGCGGGTCTTTCCTGTGCTGTTCTTATGATGGTGAATGACCCTCATGAGATCGGAGGGTTTTAAAAAGGGGAGGTCTCCTGCACAAGCTCTTTGCCTGCTGCCATCCATGTCAGAGGGGACTTGCTCCTACTTGCCTTCCACCATGATCGAGAGGCTTCCTCAGCCATATGGAATTGTAAGTCCATTAAACTTCTTTCTTTTGTAAACTGCCCAGTCTCCAGTATGTCTTTATCAGCAGCGTGAAAACAGAATAATGTAGACTTTTAAGGGAATAACTGAAGTAAAATGAGGATAAAAGTGTGAAGCCCTAATCCAAGAGGACTGGTGTCCTTATAAGAAGGTGGAGAGACACCAGAGCTGTCTTTCTATTGATTGATTGACTGAGGCAGGATCTCGCTCTGTCACCTGTGCTAGACTGCAGTGGCATGATCTCAGCTCACTGTAACCTCCACCTCTTGGGTTCAAGCAATTCTCCTGCCTCAGCCTCCTGAGTAACTGGGATTATAGGCGCCTGCCACCGTACCTGGCTAATATTTTTTTGTTTTAGTAGAGACGGGTTTTCACCATGTTGGCTAGGCTGGTCTCAAACCCCTGACCTTGTCATCTGCCCACCTTGGCCTCCCAAAATGCTGGGATTACAGGCATGAGCCACTGCATCTGGCCCAGGTCAATCTTGCTGTCTTTGCACATACAGAAGAAAGGCCATGTGGGGACACAGCAAGAAGGCAGCTGTCTGCAAGTCAGGGTGAGAGCCCTCACAGGAACCAACCCTGTCAGTACTTTGCACTTGGACTTCCAGACTGTGAGAAAATAAATGAACCCTGTTAGTACTTTGGACTTGGACTTCCAGCTGTGAGAAGATAAATGACTGTTGCTTAAACCAGCCAGTCTGTGGTATTTTGTTATGACAGCTTTATCAGACCAGGATGATCACCATATATAAAAAAAAGCAAACTTTAATTCATTGATATCCCAAAAATATAACTTTTAAAGGGAGCTGACCAGTTCTGATGAAACTTGCTAGACCCCCAAGAGTAATTTCAGACACACCAGGAGACCAAATGTATACATCCATTTGCTATGCTATTTAGTAGCCAATACAGCTTTTCAAATGGGTTTGTTTTTGCCATGAATAATATCCAGAGCTGACAAATCTACAGACATAACTGACAACCTTCCCTCTCCGTAAATGCACTTTAATTAAAAAAATAATTAATTAAAAGAGGGATTTTAATTGTATCCAGCTTCTTTTCTTGCTCTTGCTCTTTGTCTCTCTGACACAGAAAGTAACTAGACCAGCGACTTGGAATATGAGAATCCATAGGACACCTTCAGCATTTCCAGGGTGGAGGTTACGGAGGGAACAACAGAGAATTGGGGCTATCACTTCAACCTTTATCACTGAGCAAAGAGAACTACTACCAAAATCCCCAAACAGAACAGACAGTTATTTTCCATCGCAAGAATGCTTAAGCATGGGAATCCCCCGTGCCTAGATATCTGTCCCTACGGGGTCAGGTGGGAGAAGCCACCGAAAGAGGGAACCACTGTGGCACACACCTGTGGGCGTCCGGGCTGTGAACTCGGGGTCAAAGTGGAAGGTGTCCTCAGGCCTGCCCACTGCTGGTTTGAACGGTGGCTTGATCTCCTTCCGGTACAGCTTCTATTAATGCAAGGAAAGCAAGAAAGGGCGCTGAGGATGCATAGACATCGCTGCAGAACACTGGGGACACAGGAACCTGCTGCGGGGAAGGAGGGGCGGATCACAAGGTCAGGAGTTTGAGACCAGCATTCTTACCACAGACTGTGTCGGCCTCTTGGATGACAAGGGATTTCTACATATTTTCAAATATAGATGACATATAAAAATATATTAATATGTGTGGTATTAGCGATAATATGGCATATATAATAACTACATATTATAGAAAGATATATAAAAGGCATAGTTTGAGGTATAAAGGTTTGGGGACATGCTAAGTGTTTTTCATTTTATGGCAATAGTTTTCAAGCTCCTTTTTGGTAGTAGAATCTTTTTTTCCAAGTAAAATCATACAGAAGGGCCACCGGCTGCCCCCACTGCAGCTTTGGGGCTCTCTCCTCCCTGCCCTGGGACTCTGGGGCACCTAACCCTAACCCTAACCATGGACCTTCAGCTCTGTGAGACACTGCAAAAACTGCCACCTCAGAGCCAGCCCAGGGTGCTGTCTTACCACCTGTCTCAGGGTCTATGCTCTGGGGGCCGTGGCACCTCTGCCAGGACCCTGCCTTCGGTGTCAGAATAGGGCACCCAGGATCCTCTATGGGAGGATGCCTGCAACTGTAGAGAACCAGCTCTTCCCGTGGCCCCCTCTGGGCTCGAACTTATTTCCTGGACAGGACCTTGGACAGAAGGCACAGAGAGTGCACAGCCCTCCGTGCTCTGGTCTCAGAGCTGCCTGCCTGACGATGCATTCCAAAGCTGAGATGAGTGGTTTTCAGTCCTCTGGGGCAACGACGCACTCTGCTGGGATAATTGAACGTAAGGGAACAAGGCACAGGCATCTGGAACCTGGCATGATCCTCGGGCGGGTGATGCCGCAGGCGGTGGTTAGGCGGACGGAGCTGGAGGGGCACAGTGTGGAGAGGAGCATGGAGAGGGAGGGCGCTGCCGGGAGGGTGGGGGCCTGCTGGGCAGGTTCGGTAGAGGACGCTGGGTTTAGTCAAACCACCCTGGTGACAGAGGCACGGGCCACACCAATGCGCCGAGGGGCCAGTCTGGCAGTGGGCAGGCAGCAGCAGGGCAGGGCCGGGCTGGGTCTTACTGCCCCTACTGAGCATGGGGTTTCCTTAATCCTGCCTGGTGGGGTCCACATGGTGTTGGCTGAAAACTTCAAGCCTGGAGCCCTCTCTTGGGCACTTGTGTGTGACCATCATGAAGCTCAGCTCTGGAGTCAGGGACCCCCATGGCCATGCAGCTCTGGAAAACAGATGCACTGGCTGCAGCTGAAGCCCGCTTTACATCTCTCAAGGACACTGGAAAACAGATTTCAACACCTCCTCAGATGAGGCCCAACGGGAAGGAGGAGGAGGGAGGAGGGTGTTTGACATGTGGGTCCCACCTGGGGCTCTGTTTATCCGGGAGCACTTGGGTAAGAGCCCAGGCTGCAAACCAGGGCCCACAGCTACTGCAGGGGAGTGGGTGCCGAATGATGTCCCCGAGCTCCCACGGGGGGTTATCAGGAGCAGGAGCTGTGGCCTGATGTATAGGAGCTCAGGGCATGCACATAGAGCCATCAGAGGAGAAACAGGGTTGAATTCAGGAGCTCAGGG